GAACTAGAGGATAGTTGTGTGTTTTGTTGGTGCTATCCTGCACCCTAACTGGCTCCTCTTTTCCTTATGACCCTTCTGAAAGGGATGTTCAGCTGATTACAGGTGGGCTTTGGGTCTCCACTCTTCCCTCCTCTTCATGCACGTTGATATGATATTTCGGTTTTGTTTTGGGTCTTTGATGCCTGATACCTGATCCCATCGACACCTCATGGTGGCAGAGGCCCCCCCATTTCCACTTATGCAGAGGTCAGTGGCGCTACTTCGCCATGCTGTCAGGACACTGACCTTCTCACCCTGTGATTGATGGGTGTCATCTCTCAACAGACCCCTTGGAGTGAGGCAGTGGCCAGGGTGTAGGGTTAGACACAATGCAGGGTGGAGACAGGGGCCCATCTCTTCTTCTCCGTCCTCCTCCCTTCCTTTTGGGTCTCCTCCTCACCCCACCCCCACCCCCTTCTCTCCTGATGAGCTTGCTAAGCTCTGTCGCTGCTCCCTGATCTTCCATCTGCCATTGTTACCGGCACCTCTCTGCATCTCCACCGCCACTCCCTCTCTCCTCTCCCCTCTGCCCCATGGGACTGTCCAGGGCAGAAGCATAGCACTGACCAGCAGGCAGCCTGGCCACAAGGCTTGGCCATTTCTGGGTGTTAATAGGGCGTAGGGACCTGGTCAGACCCCTTGGTGGACCCCGACTACAACATCTGTCCTGTAACTGGAGGGAGGAAGTGATGGTAGGGAGAGGCGAGAGCAGAGATGATTTTCATTGCACCATGGTTTCCTCTTGGTCTTTCACACGCTTTCCGCCCCCAGTCCAGCATGGGGAGCTGACCACCAATGAGGAAGAGGTTGGAGGAGGTGCAGCTCAGCACAGAGGCCTCAGGGCCTCGGGGACCCAGGCCCAGGTGTACTCGCTGCTGCCGGAGGGTCCACTGAGAAGCCAAGGCCTTCCTTTCTGCTCTGGCCCACCTCTTTCTGCCCACTCCCCACCCCCTCCGAGACCCAGCCTTGCTCAGCTCGCCAGCTCAGCCTGCTGAGTGAATGAGACGCAGCTCTTCCCTCTTCTCCGGAGTTCCTGACCCCACTCCCGTTCCAGAAGAGGACCCATGGCCTGGGAAGACACCCGCTGGGTGCTCCTGGTGCTCCTGGCTTCAGGTCAGGAGCAGGGGTGGTGGGTGGGGGACAGGAACAGGGAGAGGTGAGGTGATGAGGGAAGGGGCTGGGTGGAGGCAGGGGGCAATGTGGCAGGAGCCCACACTGGTTGTAGACACGAAGGGGATTGTGTTCAAGGGGGTCTTCATCTCCCAACCGGGCAGTGGCATTTGGACCAAGCCTGAGGCCCTGACCTGAGGTTCATTCGCAGCCTCCTGGGCACAGGACCCAGCACTGGTGTTCCTGGAGAGACGGGCAGGGGAGACCATCTCTGTGACATGCCCCTACTGGACCAGGGATGATCGGGCCAAGAATAAAATCTGGTGCAAGAACTTGTCAGAAAACCTCTGCAACCCACTAGTGAGATCCTGGTTCCAGGAGCGCCAGTCTCGGTTCTCCATCCTGGATGGCCGGCCGTCTGGCTATTTCACCGTCAGCATGACTGGGCTCCGGACAGCAGACTCGGGATTCTACTACTGTGGGATCATTAGGAACCAACGTGTCCATATTATCAGAAACTTCCATCTGAAGGTCTATCAAGGTGAGTGCTTCCTATCCTTCAGTGCAGGTCTTACAGTCAGTGCTCAAGAGTCCATTCCGACTCATAGAGATGCTCTAGGACTGAGTAGAACAGCTCTTGGGTTTCTGGGGCTATTGATCTTGATGGGAGCAAAAAGTTTTCCTTCTCCTGAGGAGCAAGCAGCTGGTGGGTTCGAACTGCTGACCTTGTGGCTAACAGGCTTACCCAGAACCCAGTATACCATCACGAGATGTTAGAAGTGGAGGGGACCTTAGGGAACGGTTCCTTCTGCCTTCCCGCTGAGGAACAGGGGTGGTCTGGGGGCGGGTAGAATCCTGCCTTCCGTTCAGAGGACCAGGAGAGAGAGGATCGCGCTGATGCTCACCACGTCTCAGACTGAGATGGGCTTAAAAGACAGGCCGGGCAGTCTACTTCTGAGCACCAGCCAATGAAAACCCGATGCATCCTGATGGCCGGCTCTGCAGCCAATCAACGGGCTCGCCACCATGACGCCAGCCGACAACAACCGGCTCCGTGGGGCTTCCTGCTCCCACGAGAGTTGGTGTGGGAAATTCACAGGGACCATGCTACCCGGTCCTATCGGGTCGCTATGAGTTAGGGCTGTTTCAGTTTCATCACTTATCCCGGCATTCACTGGGCTGCAGCTCCAACCCAACTCAGGGCACCACCACCGTCCGTTTGCCAGGACCACGATGCTTCTCAGGGTCCTCGCCTAACCTGGGACCACTGGGGCCCCTTTCGCCCAACACTGGGTGGGAGCAGGTGCCCTGGGGTGCGGGGCAAACAGATGCCAGTGCTGCCTTTGCGGGTTCTCTCTTTCAGCTCCAGCCCGGTCTCCTCCCAGGACACCCTTGAGGACCACAACTCTAGTCTTGGCCACCAGCCTGCCCACTGACAGGTATCGGCACCCTGTGATCACTCCAGCTCCCTTGCACCCCCCCACCCCCCCAAGTCTCTGAGACTCTGAGCAATAGTCACACCTCCCACAATCCCCTGAAGAAAGGGCGGGTGAAGTCAGACTGTGGGGCACAGTTGTGCTCCGACACACTAGGGTCACGGTGAGTCCAGATCTGCCTCAGGCCAATTGAGACACATACTCATTCTCTCAGAGGAGGCCCTCGGGGGATAGAGTTGGGGTGGTTGGGATGTCCTACAGATCACTTCAGGTTGTCTTACCTCCCTGAGCCTCAGTTGACTCACCTGCAAAACGGAACCAGAAACACTCCCACCCGACAGCAAGCGCTCCTTACCCTGGAACTCTGGAGCCCTGGGGTGGGGAGTCCTGTGGGAACTGCCTTGTGCCTCATAGATGTTCAGGGACATCCCTGACCTCTGCCCACCAGATGCAGCCACCCCCAGTTCTGACCACCAAACACAGGTCCAGAAAGAAAGTCCAAGAACAGTCATGAGAAAGGCGAAGCAGCTAAGTTAGCCCGTGGCATCTACAGCCTGGAGGGACATTGAGATAAACAAGCCCAGAGAGGTGGAGTGACTTGTCCATGGATGATGGGCCCTGGGGTCAGTGCCCCTGACTGCAAGGCAACCTCCTGGTCCCTTCAGCTGGAGGGATCTCAGGAGAGCTGAGGAAGCTCTGTCATGACCGGGGGTGCTGGAACGGAGGTGGGGTTGGGGAGCAGGGTTCTGTGAGGGGGAAGCCAGGCTGGACTAGGATGTTCCTCACTCACAGCTCCCCGTTGGAAAGCCCTTCAGACAACTGGAAGTTCATCCTCCCTGGCATGGCCGCCCTGCTGCTGGGCCTACTCACTGTCATCTTGGTCCTGTACCTGAGGAGAGCCCGAGCGCGAGCCAGGAAAGGTAAACCCCATGTTGCCACGGGGAGGCCAGCTGGGAGAGCTACAGGGACAGGTGTGGGGCCCTCCACTGACCATTGAGGAAACTGAAGCCCGTGGTGTGAGCGGGATCCCCTGGGAGGACAAACCCGGCTCCTCTCCTGCTTGGTCGGTATGGGGGCTCGGAGGTCCCAAGGCTGGACCAGCTCTTGGCATAGGCTTGACTCAATACCGGATGACTGCAGCCAGATGGTCTAGGAGCCCCAGTGGCTCGGTGGGTTATGTGTTGCACTGCTAACTCCAAGGTCAGCAGTTTGAAACCACTAGCTGCTCCGTAGGAGGAAAAGGAGGCTGCTATTCCCATGAAGAGTTACAGTCTTGGAAATGCACAATGGCAGTTCTGCCCAGATCTACAGTGAATTTGGTTTGGGTTTTTTGGAGGAAGGCCTCAGCGGTGCCAATGGTTAATACACTCAACCTCTTATTCCCGGAAGGTAGGAGGAAAGGCCTGGCAATCTACCTTTGAGACCACAAGGGGCTCCTCTGACCCCCGGGTTCTCTCAGAGTTGTGATGGACTCACCTTTGAGACCACATTCTTATGAGTTGGGATGGCAATCTACCTTTGAGACCACAAGGGGCTCCTCTGACCCCCGGGTTCGCTCAGAGTTGGGATGGACTCACAGGTCACTGGTATCATCCACCTGGGATTATAGAGGATGCCATCTCTTGAGTGAAGTTTTTTTTCATGTGTGTTCTAAAGGAAATCCATCTAAAGAACTTTCTGGTTCATGGTATTGTGTTTTCATTGTTGTGAGCACCTTCCTAAAAGCACTTGGGGGACCTCTCAGAAACAAACAAATGCAACCCTTCTCTGCCATGGAGTCGACTCCAACCCATAGTGACCCTGGAGGACTGGGTGGATCGGTCCCTGGGGGCTTCTGAGACTGTCACTCTTTACGGGGGCAGAAACCCCACCGATCTTCTGCAGAGCAGCTGATGGCTTTGAACAACCACCCAGCCACCAGGGCCCCTGAAATCACTGTCCGGACTTTTTCATCGTCGGTGGTGCAAGCCTTTCGCATGTTCAGATGCAAACGCTGCAGGGTGCTTTTTGTAAGCATATGGGACCAGTCCCTGTTGCGGCCATTGCTGGGTGGCTGATGTGTCCCGTGTGGACTGGAAGCAGGTCAGAGTTATTTTGAGCCTCACTGATTTCAATTTCTCAAGCTATAAAAATCCCCAGGGAGTAGCAGCTTATACAATTTTGCATACAGATTTTGCAAGCTGTGTAACCTCCATCTAGCGAGTCGCCGTGGAATTCAAAGAGGTGTTCTGATGGCGCTCAAGGTGAAAGTTTCCACCGCAGATTAGGTTCCCTATAACCATCCTTATGCAGATGTTCAGTGCCACCAGCTACCTGTTTTACCATGTGTCAGCACGGCCTCAAATTCCATTCTGCTGCTCCGTTTCTGTGACCTCGCTTCCCTGTCCGCCTGGTCTTCTCACCTTGGCTGCTGCATGAGTGCCGGCCATTCGGTCTCATGGATAGTTTAGCCTTTGAGGGAGCTCATGGCTACGGGCGATGCGGTGGCATTCCCATGATTATTTGGCTGAACAGTGACCCACAGAGATGGTCTGGATTCGATTATCATGGGGTCTCTAGGGCAATGGCCCCAAGGGTTCTCAGGTCTCTGTGGATCAGAAAGCCTGGCCCGTCTAAGGCTCACATTTTGTTCTACATTCTTGCCCCCATTTTGTCTGGGCCCATCTCTTGTGCCCCTGGTCAGAACAGCCAGTATCGGCAGTCGGGCACCATCTGGGTCTTCTGGTCTCAAGTTTGAAGAGGTTGTAGTTCACGTGGACTGTTGTTTGACCTGCGGGCTGGTTTCTTCCTTGATCCTGTGATTTTAATCATCCCCTTCCGCTCCGTCTGAGTAGAGATGATCTTCAGATGGCTACTCACCGCTC